GTCTGAGTAAGCAGGGAGGCAAAGTGAGCAAAGTGGTCCCATTCTTGCACATGGCAGCACATGTGGAAAAAAAAAAAGAATAAATGGGTTTAACTGCTGACCGTTTAAGACTTAACGGTCAGCAGTGATGGCAACATTAACGGTGTTAGGGGAGGGTGTTAGGGGAGGGACGACAACGAACAAAAAAAATGAAGTAGAGGGACGACGTTTTGGCTCTTTGGTAGAGTAGAGGGACAACAATTGGCTTTAAACCGCTTTTAATAGAGGGCCTTCGTGTCAAACAGCTCCACTTCGGATCTTTTTTTATCCAACAGCTTCGGATGGTTTCGAATCTTTTTAAACATCTGCTTTAAGAATTGTTTCGAATCCTTTTTTATCCGATTACTTGCTTCGGATTGTTTCGAATCCTTTTTTTATCCGATGGCGAAATCCGTTTTCAATTTTTTTCCAAACTGAATGTATTTGTATATTGATTTTCTTTGCAGCTTAGCTTAGCCGGGTTGTAGCTAGAATTTTTTCTCCTTAAAGCTTGAATATCTCTCTTCTCCCTGTATTCTTCTCTCCTCCCTTCTACTTCTCTTTTGAATTCTTTTCCCAAATCCCTTTATTCTTCTTTCTCCCTCCCTTCTCTTCTCCTTGCATCTGATTTTCTGATGTTCGGGATAAGAGTTGCACCCGCAGCCACTCATCCAATCCCCTAATCCACAAAGATTTGCACTCCTCGTTAGAAAAAAAAAAGGTCCCAGTACCAGGGAATTACAGAAACGACCCTCCTCTTCACGCTCTGCTATATTTCTGTTTGGAGGACTGATCCACCACCTGTGGGACTAGAGGGGAGCTCTGGGTGGGCGTGGGCGGCAGATATATTATTTGGATTCTTCCGGCCGTGAACATTGAACTATTTTGCCTAGAGGTTGGTCTTTGCTGTTATTTTCCTTATGAAATTATTATTTTTATTTTGATTTTGGTTATAAAATTAGAGGCAATTCTTTCTTACTCCTTATCTCACTCAACTTGCATGGTATATGAGTTAAATTTAAGGTGTCTTATTTTCAGCCATAGAAGATTACTGGAGTTATTTAAATCACTGACTTTCCTTATGAATTTATTGATTTTTTGTGTTTATTTTTTTTGTCTGTTTGGTTTATGAAAAATTATTTTCAGAAATCATTTTTCCTATTTTCTTGGGTTTGGGGAGTCATTTTGGAAATCTGTCAACGAAATTAAGAATATGTTTATATTAAAATTAATAAAAGAAAGTGAAAGAAAAAGAGGGGAAGTAAAGAGAAAGAAAGGCAGGGAAAACGGAAAATCAGGCGGACCTGGTAATAAAATTATCAGGACAGCCTTAAAGAAACGGTGCGTTTTAACAGTAAACCCTTCTTCTAAACTGATCCAGATCTCTTTCATCAAAGGCTGAACTGAAATCAATGTTTTTAAATTCGAACCGGAGGTGAAATCGTTTTGACCTTTAGTTCATCATTTAACCGGTTCAATTAATTTAATTGATAAAACTACCGGATTGATCAAACTATTATAAATATATTATTCTGTAAAATATTTCGTTAGTTGGGTGCAGTGGTAAGTGACTGATTTGATGAGTGAAAAATCACAAGTTTGAGCTTAGGTGAGAATAAATTTTAATATAATTATGATTTTAAAGATAGAATAAATATATTACAAAGTAAAAAATAACAAATAAAAAGTTGTGTCTCAAGTGGTTGAGTATTTGTTTCATATCATGAAGAAGGAGAATGGGTGTTCGAATCCCATAAGTGTTATCAATAATTTAATTAAAAATTTTGAGAATTCTATTAGATAAATAAAATTTTAAGCACTAAATGATAAAATGATAGTATCGTTCTAGTGGTAAAGAGTCGAAATTAAGGTTTCGGTTGTGAGTTTTAAGTTTTTTGGGAAACAAAATTTTGAAGATTTTATACTCAACCGTTAAATCATCCGGTCAAACGGTTTATCAGTTTGAATAATTTCAATGATTTTTATTGGTTTCGAGTGATTTATAATTCAAACGATTTAAAAAATATAATCGAACCGTTTGTATCACCAGGTACCGGTCCATCGACCGATCCGTCTGATTTTCAAAACATTGACTGAAATTTCCTTTCCTAAAATCCCATTTCTCCCCTCCATAACGGACGCTCAAACTTCCTAAAACCATTCCCCCCCTCTTTTAATCAGTGACCCAGGCCTTAGTCTGAATCAAATAAATCTGGGTTTTGAAATCAAATAAACAGTAGCTATTCCTTAAAAACTAAAGACTTTACGCCAAAGACAATAGCAAGGATTGAATTTTGTTCGCAGCACCACCCAAAAAGCATAAACAACTTGAATTCCAAACGAAGTTTATCTGGTTATAAGTTTGTGCCTAAATTTGTGCTTTCCCTTGGTAATTGATTCAAATTATTTTGGATCAAACCACCCATCTGTTTTCTTTACCTACAACTAAGGGAAGAAAAGTAAATGAAATAGGAAAATAGCTGGTGTTTGGAAATGGAGATTGGCATATAAAAGACGGCTTCATAATTGAGAAGAAGAAAAATTGGACGAGCGGCTAACCTTAATCAACCAGAAATTTCCAGAACAAGAAAAAAATATACAACTAAAGTAGGATGGAATATATTAACTCAACTTACAAGGAAGTCGACAAAGATTCCTTCAAGGAAGTGTGATGTTCCTTGGTGACTTTAGGCTTTAGGGAATCCTGTAGGAGGAAGAGATTTGAGTGCAGTGGAAAGAGTTATAGAGAAGTTTGGAAGCATTTATTTCAAGGGTATAGCCAAAAAATTAAACGCACCGTTTCTCTAAAGGCTGTCCTGGCAAATTTTTTGCCAGGTCAGCCTGATTTTCCGTTTTCTCAAAAACGGGGAGGAGAGCAAACAATTAATATTAATTTTATTTAAATAAATTAAAAAAAAAGGGAGCTAAAGATCATATTAATTTATTTAATTAAATAAATTAAAAAATTTAATTATGATAAAATTAATTAAAATTTTACAAATTTGTTTATTAAAATTAAAGTTAAAATAAAAATTTTAATTACATTTTTTAAAAAAATTATAAAAATAAAAATAAATTGAATCCTTCTAAATCTCTTTAAATTAGAGGAATTGAAAAAAAGAGTTTGAGAGAGAGTCAATCACCCCTTCATTTACCTCTCTTTCCATCTCCCACTTCGGCCAGTTTGGTATAATGGTTAAAATTTAACAGATGGTGAATAGTGAATAGTAAATAGTGAATACTAGATAGCGAATTCGATAAATATAACTTTTGGTTATATAATAATTAGTTATTGTTGTTTAATATTAAATTACTAATAAGGACATGTTTAAAAATAATTAAGTATATTTTTTAAAATAATTTTTTATTATTAAAATTATTAATTTTATAAAAATAATAATAAGAAGATAAATAAATAAAATTAATTATAATAATGTATTTACATCCCATTTCTGTTTTAATAAAGAAAAATTATATTATTTTTAAATAAAAAATTAATCATTTTATCTAATTAGTAAATTTTGTTTTTAAAGATGATATATTTTTAAATGATAATTTAATGCAAAAAATAAAAATATTATAATCATTTAATGTTATTAAAAGTAAAAAAATAAAATTTGAACTTATTAAATAAATATTACTTAAAAACTGTTATGAAAAAATAAAAAATAAAAAAGATAAATTTGTCAATAAAATTAAAAAATTTCAATCTGCTAGTAGTTTGGTACAAAAAGCTACCTAAGGTAGATTTTTCAATCTGCTAGTGGTTTGAATCCTAACTATTATCCACTAGTCTTAAATTGCTAAATAAAAATTTTTATCAAACACTTTATTTGTAATGGTTTCGAAATATATAAATTTACCAAACACTTATACTTAACTGTTTAGCCTAAACCGCTAACTACGACTTTAAAACCGTTGTACCAAACATGCCCTTCATCTTCATCTTTTAATGATTTTATCCAAACCAGAGAGAACAGAGATCTCTCCTTCACTATCTTTCCCTTCCCCTCATCGCCCTCAACTCATGGTAAATAGTAGATCAGGTGCTTAATCTTTTCCTTTATGAAACATTTTGATTCAACAACTCTTGAATCATAGCAACCAAATCCTTAGTTGTCTAGAGCTTCTGTGCCTCCGAGGAGGACAACCCATGAGGTCATTGATAGAAGAAGCCATACACTTTCTCCAATTTGATCTTCTGAAGAAGACAGTGACGCGTGGACAATATCCTAGATGAAGTCTTATATATTTATTCTTTTACATAAGTCCTTATAGTTTTCTGCATGTTTAATATGATCCCTATGGTGGATTCCTTCTTTGGGAAAATATAGACTTCCAATGTCAACCAAACAATTGAAAATATTTTTTTGTTAAATTTTTTTAGAGTCATCCAAACAAAAGAAAATAATTTATGGAATAGAAAAAAATTTTCACAGAATAAATTTTCCAAAGTTATTTTTTTGTGAACCAAACACTCCCTAAATTTGAAATTAAGATCTATTATTCCTATTGATTATTTTTTATCGTTTTTCTTTTTATCCTTTAATTCCAAAAGTTAGTGATAGAAGTTGTTCTCTTCTTTAAATTCTACGAAGTCATCATTAAAGACATGAAGACTTAAATGAAATTAGTTAAGTTACTGTTGAGAAGAGAAAAACTACAAAAAAATGGGTTTTTAGTGATGAAATTTTGTGATGAATTTTGAAAATATCACTATAACTCATCACAATTATGATAAATTTTAAAAATTAGTTACAAATACATGCATGTTTAATGATGATGAAAACAGTTTATCATTAAAAATATATTTTATCATTAAAAAATGATCACAAAGGAAAAAAACAAGCTTGTAATAATTGATAAAAATCATCATTATAACTCATCACAATTATGATAGATTTCAAATACTAGTCACATATACCCCCACATTTAATGATGACAAAAAAAATTCATTACTAAAAATATATTTTGTCATTGAAAAATTATAACAGAGAGAATACATGCTTATAATGATGAAAATCATCATTAAAACTCATTACAATTTTGACAAATTTCAAATTTTGGTCCTAAATATCCACACATTCAATGATGATGAAAAAAATTCATCATTAAAAAGACATTTTGTTATTAAAAAATTGTCATAGAGAAAATATACTCTTAATGATAAAATTTGTCTTTAAAACTCATTACAAACCTATAATGTTATCAAATAAATTCGCAACAAATAATATACTTAACAACCTACATAGACAATAAAAATCAAGATTTTTTTGGCAAAAATATTGAAAGGGAGGTAAAAAATTGGGTATGCCAATAGGAAAATCGAGATTTTTTTAAAAAAAGATTTAAAAGCATAATAACTTAAGTTTTGTGACTTAAATTAATATATTTTAAAAGTTTAAGGACTATATGCAATAATAAAAGTTCTAATCCAAAGCTATAAAAGAATAACATAAAAATTTTAGGAACAAAGTGTTCATAAAGGAAAAGATTAACCACCTGATCTACCATTTACCATCATTGAAATTGTGAAAGGGAAACCCAACACTGGTTGTGTGTCGACACCATGAATTAAGAACTTGTGACTTTGTAAAAGTCAAAGGAGAAGCATCCCAATGCAGACGTGAAATAATGAAAGTGAAAGTAAAGTAAAAGAAACTTCAAATTATATGTTTATTAACCTAAGATAAAAAAACATGTAATATATAAAAAAAAGTAGGGTTACAACTTGGTTTTTCATTGCATAGTCTATATGGTTTGGTAAAAATGAGGTAATCTTTAAGTCTATTTAATGATATGTTAAGCTAATAATTGATGAAGAAAAATGACTTGAGCTTCTTTGGTAAGTTCATTTTATTGGCTAAAAGGAAAATTTAGGATTTCTTTTCAATTATATGATTGGTTTAATAATCCTAATTAGAGAGTGTATTCAAGATGTACACTATAGTACTAATTTGGTTTTTTTGTTGTAAGGTGATAAAATTAAAAACCCTCGTCCTTTTGATTTTATGAAAATTGTGTTGTTCCGTTGTTAATTATTGAATGAAATATTAAATGTATTGAGAATTGATTAAAACCAAGTGAGTTGAGAGTATGTATGTTAAAAATGGTTAGAATATCTTTGTACTTTTAAAAAAATTAATATTCTTTTTATTGATAAAAAAATTAATGGAACTAAATTCCTTCCAACAACTTATAAAGATAAATAATTACAATTTACTACATTTCTTTTGTCTTATAGTCATTTTTTATCTCGAGAAAAAGTGTAGTCTTATTTAAGTTTTTTCTAATCAATACATCCCACATTTGTGAAAAATACATAAGAAAATAAGGTTTTGTGCGATAAATATATCCCATAGCAGTGAGAAATATATAAAAAAATAAGGTCTTACATTATAGAACTTGACTAGTGATTACTTGTAAACTAATTGATTGATACTTATACTCAATTTTATTTGTTTGAGCTCTATAAAGTGAAGCTCGGTAAAATCAAGCTTAACTTAAGCTCCATTTTAATCGAGATTGAGCACTAGAGTTGAGATAACAATAATTTTTTATTGAGCTTTTGTGACAAATTTGTTCGTGTTGATATGTATTAATGGATTTTTTTTGTCAAATTGTGTTGTAATTACATAAATTCTTCTTTTAAGTCAATATCTATTTTAATAATTAATGATTAGATTTTTCATCAAAGATATGTTTTTTTATCACTCAATTGTAACCATGACAAAAATAAAATTATTATAAATAACTTATTAAGAATGTTGATTTTTTTTTGTCACTGTAAATTTCTTTTATGTGGCAGGTGCTAAATCCATCATTAAGAGTATCAGTGATAATGATTTTACTAAAAGTTTAAATTTTATTACTAATTTTAGCTGATGATAAAAGATAAAGATTTAGTGAGCAATAATTTAATCGCTAAATGTCATCTTTTTAAGAGAAAAATCATTTTGGAGCCGAGGAGGATGAGAGGGGCTGCTGTTGATGCCTTGAAAAAATGCGCGGAGGCGCTTCAACATGGGAATCAGAGTCTTGCAAACGCAGAGATGGGAAGAGTTCTTGATCTTACTGAAGAGGAAACTGAACCTAAAACTAGAAGATTGATTGGATATTTTGCGCAAGCTCTTGCTTGCCGAACCTACGGATTTCATCCTACATATTTATCATTCCCATCATCTGACTGGAAGTATAGGATGTGTGAATGGTGTGACGTTTTTACTACCGTAGGTCGGACTATTTCAGATGCTGTCAAGGGAAAACGCAGAGTCCATGTTATTGAACTTGTCCAGCACATGCATATTTATAAGGAATGGGAATCCCTTTTTGATAAGTTTGATGAATTGGGTGACCTGAGGCATTTAAGGTTAAGTTTCCTTGTGCAATAAAACGATGAATTTTCGAAAGAAAGTGGGGAGGAACTTATTCGGGCTTCTAACCGTCTCCATATAGAGTTTGAATGTAAGATTTTTCCTGTTAACAGTTTTGCTGACATTGATGTGTCTTTGATGGGGATGCGGGATGACGAGTTTGTGGTTGTGAATTGCATGTTTGTATTCAGCAGGATGTTGTCGGCGGAATTAGCTCTGGAGAAGGTGTTACTAAAGGTAAGGGATGCAATAAAAGCGGACATTATGATTGTTGCAGAGCATGATGCCAACCACAACCAGTCTGATTTTTTATTGCGGTTTGATGCATCACTTAAATATTATTCCTCTCTATTCGAAGGAAATCGTTATACTCATGAAGTTGAGTTATATTTTAAATATCAAATATCCAACTTAGTGGCCTGTGAGGGTAGTAATAGGGTGGAGCGGCACCTGACGTGGGCTCAATGGAAATCCTTGCTTACTCGTTATGGGTTTTCTATTGTTAATTTGTCTGCCGTTGGGATAGACACAGAAAATGGCATTTTGGTGATCAGAGGTACCGAAGAGAAGCAGCCATTATTTTTCATTTCTGCTTGGAAAACATCAACATCCCCCTTCAAATAATCGGGCTCTAATGAAGGTTAGTATTTTCTACCGAGTTAAACTGGCCCATCAATACTCACCAAACGTATTTAGTTATTTTTTATTCCACAAGGTTTATCATACATTATTCACTGCTGTATGCGCTTTGAACTTGTAACCCAGAGCATCTTTTTAGATATTTTGGAAAAAGTTTGTTTTGAGACCAAACATTATATTTGACGTATTTGGAGTCGATAAAAAGTTTTGAGACTTAAAGAAAATAATAAATAAATTAATAAATGATTTTATTTTATTAAAATTAATAAATAGCTTTTAATTTTAATCATTAAGACCTATGTGAACTGGTATGTAAACTATTTTTGATATGATGGGTCAAATTAAACATTAAAAAAAAAAA